GTCTAGTGTTTTTTAAATCACTGATTTATCTTACTGCATAACTCAGATAAATGCTCAGGCAGCCTTTTCTTTATTCCAGCATTACGGTAATGCAATTATCTCTTAGTTTAGAACTTTCTTTCCCACGAAGAAGAGACCCTAGTTATGAGGGATTGTTCCAGGCGTAATGATGGTGACAGATATTGCAGATGTATTCCCAAGAGTAATTGCATTGACTTTTAACATGTCCTAAACATAACAAAAAAAAGCAAGACACTAAAGGTTTCCCAAAGTTTTCTGTTAAGGTTTGAGGATTTCTTGTTCGATTGTTGTCAAGAGACTTGGTTAAAAAGCTTTTCAAACAAGAGAATAGTAGAATCAAGATAATCATGCCAGTCCATACCGGGTCATGTCAGCTATACTGATGCATGGCTAGGCCAATTTTTGGCTTGTTCTCATCAGCATGAGAGAGTATGACATTATGCACACGATACTCTTATTCAGGTTTCATTACCTCAACTTGAAAATCACAGTAGACATAGATGAAAAGAAAAATATGTTGAATATCTATTAATAATTAGAAACTAACAATATTTACAGACATAAGAAGAAAGAGAGGCATGGGAGGATAATATATAGAACAAATTGATGTGTGGTTGTTTAAGAAAATTTACATTTTCTGGAGAAGGGCATAGCCTAGTTCTATTTGAAGTGACTTCTTTTTTTTTCCAGATGGTTCCAACATAAAGTTGCAAAGTGTATCCAATCATTACTTTCTTATTAACTTTGAAGATTATAGATGCTTTAATTTGCACTAGGGCTGTCTGAAAGGCATGAATTTTTTTTCATCATCACCTAAACATCCCAAATATCTTTAATATGGAATAACAAGATCTCTATTTCTCATCTATTACAAGTTAAAAAAATAAAGAAATGAATAAATAACAAAACTGACATTTTGTGATCTATGTTATCCAATAATTGAGTTAATATTTGACTCATCATCCTGTAAATTGCTAAAAAAAGTAGGTGTGGATATGGATTCGAGCATGAGTTGGTTTGGCTTCAGTGCATTGTGGCTAGTACTAACCAAAGTTGGTTTCAGTGATTAACTTTAGGACGTTTCTCTGTCACCAATTCAAAAAATCTTGATAATCATGATAACTCAAATGTCCAATTTCATCATAGCTTAGTTGGATTTTGCTTTCGTTCCCTTACCCCCGGAACTTTGTTCACTTCCAACTGAGTCATTTGTGTGGGCAACCCTTCCTTAAGTAGTGAATCAACAAAGTCTATTTGGCTTTCTATATGAATAATTCGAACACTTCATTGTAAAATATTGGCTTTTGTTTCACATTATGTTAATTTTCTTTTTGTGTCTTGAGTGTTGGTCTTTATTTTCCTAGTTCATGCATGCTTTAGTTTTCCTCTTTTATTCTTTTATGTACTGAGAAGACATGAATTTCAAAGTTTAAACTTAGTGGTGTCTATAAATTGTAAATGTTTTATTAATGCTAACATAAATCGGTCTTTTGCAGTTATACTGAGTCAGAGTTAGTTCAGAATTTGAATTGTAAAAGGGGCAAACTATTCTAAATTTTCTGGTACTTCATTGGGATTCTCTTCATAATCTTCTTGATGATGTTTTAGAGTTGGACTAGGATGTCAAAAAAAAAGGTTGCGGTAGGACAGATAATGATAAGATGAAATAGGCTGCTAACTGCTTAGTGTTTAGTTGAGGGAGAACTCTTAGACTGCTTAAATTGTTAATTCAATGACATATATGATGTCTAGCTGAAGATATAGTTCTATGGTGAACATGTGGTCTCCTTTTTCTTCTTTGTTCTGCATTTTCTTTCTCCTTTGTCATTCTTTTACATAGAGACAAAGCAGCCAAAGCACAAAGCTCTTGAGCCTTACTTCTGCACACTCTCTTTGTGAAATCTTGGAGAAGCCTAGAGAGTATTAGCTTTAATCTTGACAGGCAATATAGTAGTTTAAGTTTTTCACAATATCTTGATGCCTAAGATGAGATAGCAGATTTTTTTTCCTGAAGCTGCCCAGATATGTGGATTATATTTTAAGATGTCCATCTTTTTCTCTTAGATCAATTTTAGTATTTTTTTTTACCAATTTATTGCATTATAAATAATGATTGAAATATCGTACCGTACCGATGTTTCGAGCTTGGCTCGGTATGATACGATACTATGTATTGAGTGGTACATGTAATTTAGGTGTAAAATCTTCCAAAAATATCTGAAAATAAAAAAAAAAGTTAGGATAGGATTTTTAAGTTAGAAATAAATATAGTAATAGTATAAGTTTAACCAAATCAATGTAAATTAGGTAAGAATAGTATCACATATCTTTTTCGAGCTTTGAGGAATAGTCTTGTGCAATATTCGTATTTCAGTCCGTTATGGATTATCCTTGTGTAAATATTGAAATATTTATAGAAAAATCATTTGAATTGTTTGACTATTTTGTTACAATATAAACTCTAAAATTTAAATGAATTAAATAATCACATATGTAGATATACTTGATTGCTGATTCTACCATCAAAACGAATGATGGGCCTCCACGGTGGTGGATCGAGGTCCTCGATCCTATATATCTGCATATCAATATGATATGCTTGTTGGATCCAATCATGAAATTGATCCCATGACATAATGTATTGATATATCATATGTCATTGATGCATCAATATGGTGATGATCGTAGACTGATCGTCATGAATCATATTTGTCTGAGGCAGCTCCTGAGACATATATTGGTGAATGTCAGAGCTTCTACTTCTTCTACTGATATGTTGCTCTGTATCATACTGTTGCTCAGAGAAGGATGACCAAGTATCATTGTACTGTCCCATTTGGTTGAACAATCAATAGTGTCAAAAGGTTATTGACAGTTAATACTGGTGTATATTTTGATACCCTTTGGAAATGGTATCATTGGTGTCTCTTTTTCTAACCTAGATAAATTAGATTAGGCCAAATAAGAGCCATATAAGAATAGGATTATGTCCATTGGTGTTAGAATCTTTTTTCATAGGTTGTCCCAGTTACTTGGACCGTCTGCCCTGTTCCTTTTCATGTTCTCTGTTTCCCTCTCATCTTTCTAATTGTTGAAGAGGTATTGATTCTATGGAGCGCTAAGAGGCATGGTTCGTCTTACCGGTGTACCAATCAACTATCGGTATGGTATGTACCAACCCGTACTAAGTGTACCGACACATGGTACATGGGAGTATACCAATGTACTGCCTGTACCAATCCTCTATTGGATTAGAACGTACCAGCCGCATCGAACGGTATGCCATGATGGTAAAACGAACTTTGCTAAGAGGTACATAATTTTTTTGTTTATTTATCCATTTTCTGTTTTTTTTCTTCTCTGCTTCCTCGTGCTAGTGATCCTATACAGACATGGTCATGTGCTAACTTTTCTGATCATCGTTTAGCATGGGAATTTTCCATGTAAAGTCATTACTGCATGAATAACTGAAAAAAAAATTTGTGCTCTAGTAGCTTTCTCTTCTCCTTTGGATTAGACACTCAAGTGCAATTACTGTGGTATTCCTTGCTATTCTCAAGAAATTGGATGAAAGTTGTAAGTGATGTTTTAGTTTCCACATCCTTCCCCTTTGCTTTGAGATGAAAGATGGATAAGATATTTCAATGGCTACCGCAACCAACAGTGTGAATCAGCCAGTCAGCATCACAGTCGAGCTATGTTGATGTCAGATTGGTCTACTTGTTACCAGCTGCCACTATTTTCCTGTTTGGTTTTGTTTTCCACTTTCTTCCAATCTATCAGATGAACTAGAATGCCTACAACACCAACTAGTGTGTATCAAAGGAGGAAAAGTAGTGCCTTCTTTTCGTTGCAAAGTTAATCGTTGGTTTTAATTTTCCTTATTTTAATTGCTTTCTGGATAAGATGCCAAACTTTGATCTGATTTAACTGATTCATTCTGTTTATAAAATTAAACCTCAAACTGATTCTTACTTGCAAATATCACCAAAAAACCTAGAAGCAGAGGATGGCCAGGTGTCTTGAGGAAATTTTGGAAGGTATCTACAAGATGATTTTGCCAAGTTTGCTGGCAGAGAAGCAGAAAGGACGCACACTGCAGGGCCAGGTTATCTTAGGAAATGATTCTGTGTGACATTGGGTAGGGGGGAAGTGGCCAGATAAAGGTGTGGAGTACTCGCATCTGTACGGCGCATGAAGCCCCAAACCCCAATTGCCATAATGAAATGCTGCACTAGTGTTGCAGAGGGGAAGAAGAAGTCTGAATTCAAAAAAACAAGCCTAGGAACTTCTGATAGAAAAAATTGACTTCAAGGGGATTTTGGTTATTGGTGTAAACACAAAATAAGGTAATGTGAATTATGTGATCTTGTTGTTACATAAAGATTGAAACAGTACATTGCAACGAATAGTATGTTAGAAAAAAGACCTAGTGGTTGTTAAACACTATATAATCTAGACATGTTTCTGCTCGAGTAAAATGAGGAGATTGGTAAGTCTAGATCTTTGACTAACCAATAGTTTGTCACATCTCGAGTTAGTGCTGTGCACGGGTACTGGAAAAGGCTTTCGATGAGAATCTCCTAACATGTCTTCAGGATTCCAGCCCTCATGATAATACTGACTTGACTTGGAGTTGGCTGTGGTAACTGAGGTTGTCCTTGATTGTCACATGTGATTCTTTATGAAGGTAAAACAAATAAGAATCTGTTTCTGGCAGCATTTTCTATTTCATTTTGTGGGAATTGGATCACCAGACTAAATGTTTTACTTTTTGTCTTTGTGGGAACTTAGCTTTGATATACTAGTGGATTTTTGTCAACAAACCTTCCTGATGCCTGTTCTCAATGTTGGTCTACCAACTCATTTACTCTCGTAATTTCTTGATATTTTTATGTGGACTCTTTAATTAACAGCTTAATCATTAGTAGCTGCTCGGACAGATTGCTCATTGTTTTCTTTTTTTCATTGTCCTGCAGAATCTAATGGTGTCGAAGGAGTTCCTTATGAGAACACAGAAAGACCTTGATCATTGAGGATGAGGTTTTCTATGTGGATTTGCAAGATTTTCCAGGTCAAAATCAAGAAAAATAAATCTACCATATTTTCATCTTCAATGTGGATTCTGATATATGAACAGTACACCTAGTCCATTAGGTGTTCTCATCCCACCAAATTATTGTTTGTATCCTCAGAGTTTACCCTAATTCTGTATGTACATCTCTAGATGTTCTTAATTAGAATAAAATTCTAGTAGTCTGCACTGCAGGAGATTCGTCCATGTTTAAATGGTGATATGGTCACTGACAAATTGGATGTTTTATTGTCTATGCTAGCTTGATTTCAGGATGATTACCGTTCAAGGAGGATGAACTGCTTGAGGGGTTTTGGCGTTTGCGCTTGCACCTTGTAATCTTTTTTCCTGCAGTTGGGACTTGTTGGCAAAAAGAAGCTGCGAGTCTTTGCCCCCTTCAACCATCATCGGAGTGCCACTTTCCGACGAGGATCGATCAGCACCATCTGAGGCACTACTGCTCCTCGTGGTCATCTCCTTTCGCCGTTCCTCTTCCATCATGACATAACATCTCTGGTTGCATTTGCAGGTGAGTATCAAATGCAGTCAACCAAACATCAAAAGCTTCACGGAAACAAGCCAACCAAACATTCAAACCATAATGCAAATCAGAAATGCATGCAGGTTTGTTTTGGCATTCGATGACCACCTATATACATAATGTTGGATTGGCAGATGAATTAAATGATCTACCATTCTACGTAATCAATGCAGCTTTAACTCCTAAAAAGCAAGAATCAAATAGTCAAATGATTCAAGCAGTGGAAGATACAAATCTCTATCTTTTAACAATTAGTCAAATGCATCCGATATAAGCAAATTTCTTGGAAAAGTATTATATCATGCATTTTTTTCATATGCCAAAATTTTTGAACCGATTCTGGTAGAAAGTCTCAAACTGATTCGTAGACATATATTTGCGGCCAATGGGTAGAAGTACAAATTTAGAAACCATCTTACATTCTTAGGTGGCACATCCACAAGAAAAGGCTTTGAACCCAACATGGTAGAGTCATACCATATAAAAAAGCAAGTCATTTATTTATTAGGAAAGAGAATCCTGAACGATCAAGGTAGACAAAGGATGTCCTTTGTTTCTTGCAGGCAGTTATACTTCGATAGAAAGGACTCATACCTAATGAGAATATGTCAGGCAAATGACTAACATATTGCATATCGTACTGATCATATTTATTTATTACGAAATGTCCTTTATTTCTTGCAGGTAGTTAGTACTTCGATAGAAAGGAGACAACCACACATCCAACAATGGCCATGACAACATGCAACAGAATGGAAAGCCATCCAAAAGTGCTCTCAGAATCGCTTCTCATGACCTGAGCTCCACATAGGACCCGGAAAGCCCAGAGGTGCCAAGAAGCGTAACCTGCACGTAACAGCAGTCGATCATAAGTTTGCTACAACTTCCTGAAATACATAAATATACATATATGCAAGCAAGCATTACATCTTTTATGCGGTGGGCCTGACCTCGGTCAGGCATGACAATTAATTTCAGGTTCCCTTGATTCTTCAGAGTTGGTAGGGAGATCCCAATAAAGGTGACAAGTCAAATAAAACATGGATAACCAAGAGCGCACACTGGTTATCATTCTGTCAATTGCCTATTCTTACTATCAAACCCTTGGTTCACCTTAAAATATCTAACAATGATCACATAGTATCCAAACACAAGGGAGAAAGGTTTCTGATGGCCAATCAAAGGGTATAAATCTCCTACAGATTGCCTTGAAAGACTAGGGCCACGTAAAGATTGTTTATTTCCAAGTAATTGGGCTTCTGCTGCTATTCTAATATCACAACGGGATATGTTAATGGCAAGCAGAAAAAACCTATAAGCAGCATGCCTGCTTTGCACAAACAACCAGCTATATTTAGACCAACTAAACAATTGTGTCACAGGAGTGCTTGTTAGGCAACCAGCCAAGAGGCATGTGGCTAGCATGATAAACACCACCATAAGCATACCGATGGATGGACGAAGAAAAAACTAATTGGTGAAAATTGGCTCAGATCATCTTGGTTTGGTTTGGGCTTCAATAGTAGCAAAAACTGAAAAAGTATTTCTTACCTTTCCAAGCCGTGCCAAACAACAACATCATAAACTTTTACAGAAGTGTCAATCTCAGCGCCATGTTGGCATGAAAAATGAAAGCTGGTACAGCCAACATGGTAATCCATACTTTTAGGGAAAAGAACACTGCACCAAGGCCCTAAGAGTTATCAGATATGACGCTAACTACAATGTAATGTATATGGGAAGCTTAATTACAGGAATAACATATAATATTACATAAGCAGAGTTGTATTCAGGTTTCTGAGTTTTGAGATCATTAACATCAAAGAATTCAGTAACTCAAAGCTTAAAAGAAACATAATATATTTAAAAAAATTAATAACTAACTAATATAAGTCCTGCTGTGAAAATTCATGCAGCAAAAAACATTATTGTAAAGTTTGCTTACCTTTCCCCACTCAGAACCAATTCCACTGCATCTCATTTTCAAGTGTATCATTTTTGTTCCCAATTCAAGTTCAACCTTTTTCCTCAAAAAGGTCTCATCAGGACCAAATGAATCCAAATAGGTAATATATCGTTTATATGAAGCTCTTATGGCATCTTCCAGATGCTCTGGCAGATGACCAACATTCTGTGAACAGTCATTATCAGGTTTGTCAATATTAGAACAAAATAGACAATTGCTTGAAAATTGAGATAAATAGCACCTAAGTTTCTCCATTCAAAGTCTACATAAACAAAATGACTGACCTCACCACTTAAGCCGCATAAATCATCAAGTGCCATTCTAAGGGATACCAATACCCCACTAAATTCCACAGATGCCTCAGCTGCACGAAATACATTTGCCAAAGCCTCTTGGCCAGCTATATCTTCAGTGGTTTTTGACAGAGCCTTCTTTGTCTCCCTTATAACAGAGTCCGGAATTTCATCCCAGTTAATCGCCAACAAATCCTTCATTGCAGCTTCTATATCAGGGTCAGTAATGACAGGCAACTGGCTTATATTTGAACTGAAGGCACACCTCAAATTTAGTGTATACGAGTATTTGTGACCTGAAATTCCTTGAACACAAAGAATAAGAATGTCAAGTTAAAACTGAATTTAAATAGTTACAAGAATAACAATCTTACATGGAAAAGTGAGCAATGTGAAATAGATGAAAAAAAAGAAGATAAAACATAAAGAAAAAGTAGATAATTGTTTGCTTTATGACCAGCAGAAAACTAGATTGTGCCATAGTAGTCCTATAGTTCAAGTTATCAGTGGGACTAAGACTAACAGGGTTATAATAGTTACCTGATCACGGAAGAAACTCCTCCATCTTATAATCTAGTTTAATACTTTAACATCTCATAGTTCTTTCTACACCATAATAGCTTTGTAATGATTATTCTTGGAGGTAGAAACAAGGTAGGCAGGTGCCAGAGTATTGCTGCCATCTGCCATAACATGCACTGATGCAAGTTGGAAAAATCTTTCCAAGGGTTTGGAAAAAATACTTATGTTTAAGGAGTTTAAATGCTAAGGTCATACATGCCAGGTGATGGGGAGATACCTTCATTCAAGGATTAAAATGTTGACCTCATGTCAGTACCAGCTAGACAGATCTTTAAAACCTTGTATTTATCTACCTCAATCTGAGCATAGATTACCTCTATCAACGCTGACCATTTGAGAGAGCACTAAAGGACATTCTATAAACTGTCACATAGTGTAGCAACTGGTGAGTTGCTTTGCAGGAAAATCCACCATGGCTACCCAATTTTCTAGAAACCTTTTCCTTAATTATATTATCTTGATAACCCATTCCATAAGATTTCCCAAGGATCAGGCTCATGGAACACTTAACCTGGTGGTCGTTTGCTATTGATTCATGTAACATTGGCTTGAAACTTGAAAGTAGGGTCAAAGTTTTAAAACTGATAAACAATCGTAAAGGCAAGAATCACTAGCTTCAGGTACGTAACATATTATTTTAATCCTATACTAGAAATCAATTTTTAGTTATTGATCTTTAATTTTTGAGTAAACAACCAAAATAATGATAAGATTCCAAACAAAATCATTTATAACTACTAAAAAGGGTCGGAAATTTAGCGAACAATTACAATATACTAAAATGAATAATTCAGTTATCAAGCCCCACTAAAATGGTTTATTAACCCTGAAAGCTTATTAAGAACAAGGATATATCAATTAACAATAAAGCGTCAATATAATCAGATACACTACAATAAATTCAAACCACAGAACCATTTACATAAATGCCGGTAGCATAATGCTGACACCAACATATAAATCAATGAGTACAAGTCAAATGATCAAAACAAACGAGCTGCTCAAAAGCAATAACCATGCAAATTTCGCTACCAAATTAGCTTCACAAATTCCAAAATGAGCAACCGTCAAACTAACATGCTTGAACTATATACCAAAGGTCCAAAACAATAAAATAGAAGCGCCGATAAAGGGCAACAAAGACTAACAAGAAGATATTGAAAAATTAAGGGAGGTTAAGCACTTTAAAAAAAGCATTTGAGATAGCTAATCCTTTAAGAAGCATCTATGCACTAAAATAATGGAAATCTGGAAGAATACTAAGTGTATCCCCAATAAATGCATTAAATGGCTGCCATATACCACATGTTCCAAATCTGATTTGAGAAGCTTGGAGATTCGTTCTTGTGATCTCATGAATGTTATTAACACCCTTCATCCAACTTCTAACTGCATATCATGTGGTCAAATGTGTAAAAAAATGACACGCCAAATGCATAAATGAAATTCTCTTATTGCAATAAAAATGGAGTGGGATTGTAAAGGCTTATTACCTGCTTGAGTTGCAATCGTGCGTGTTGTCACCGGCCCCAGCTCGCTGCAACAAAAAGATTGTTTTAGATATCTAACAAACGTTTTCAGGTAACAACAATAGCAGTCAGTGCATCAGACCAGGTTAAAGTTACAGAATGTTCTAGGTTTTTTGGAACTGTTATTAAAGCAAAGTCCAGAAATTTTTTCGAGAATGTCTCAGCAGCTGTAAACAAGTACAGAAAAGCTATCAAATATGGCCTCTTACAGAAAGGTGCAAAGAAAAAATAATCAGCTAAGAATTTAAGAACCAAGATATGAAATAGAAATATGAATAAAAAACTACTAATGTGGATTCAGCAAATTCAAGAAGGGAATCTTTTAGATAAAGCACTATAATATCTTACAATGTGTTGTAAGAACCAAAAGCCCCTAAGGTCCCAAATTGCCAGAGCGAAACGAGATGCTCTCGAATATTATAATTAAAATAATATACAACTAAATAGAAATATACTAAACATGTTTATGAAGACCTATGTTAGAATTAAACTGCTCCAAAAGCATCTTGTTAACAAGTAATGTTTTGCTGCTCTAAGACATCATCAAGTAAAAAGCTAGGGAAGTTTTATGTATAAATCAAAGTGCATATTGCTCATGGTGTTGTAGATAGAACAAATATATTTAAACTGCTCCAAACGAGTTGCTGCTCATCCGTTCGCAGTTTAATTAACAGGAAGGTGGGGGAAGCAGAGGGCGGCGAACGAAACTGCAGCTGCGAACGGATGAAACTGCAGTGGCGGACGAAGGTAGCAGACGACGTTGTCGACGACGGCGGACGGAGCTGCAGCGTCGGACAGAGCGTGCGAAGGCGGCGAAAGACGGCGATGGAAGAGGTTGCCATCGACCGCGGTAGCAGCAGACGGAGTTATAGCGGTGGAAGAGTTTTAGGGTTTAGAGGAGCTGCAGTGGCGGACGAGCTGCAGCGGCGAACGAGATCGGACGAGGTTGCCGACGGCGGCTAGCAGAGCGGCGACAGATGTAGGGTTTCTTTCACCTTTGTTTTCTTTTACGGGGTCGGGCGAGAGAGGGGGTTGGACGGTGTTAGGGGGTTGGACTATGTTAGTTGGTTCGATCGAACCAACTGGCGCCTCGGCTCAGGCGAGCGCAAGCCAACTAACTAACTAACTAAACTGATTTAAGATTGACTAATCTGGTTTAATTAACCAGTAACTGATTTTATAATTTTAAACAATATTTAAAATATATATATTAAAATAAATTATTTCAATTTAGCTGAATCAAAATCAATTAAACAAAACGTGAATCTTAGTGCAATTATGATCGAAATTGGCATTAAAATTAGGCCAACACGTAACTATTGTTCTTCTATTTTGATCACCAATTCAAATATATTTGTGGATTTTAAGAATTTTTGGGTCAATTAAAGGCGGAGGCAATAAACACGATCGATTGATATCTTTTAAATTAAAATTGATTCAATCTGTATTGGTTAACTGAATCGAAAGGGAATATAAATGTTGTGAACGCAGTAATAAACGGTATAATAATAATAATAATAATAATAATAATAATAATAATAATAATAATAATAATAATAATAATAATAATAATAACACTCAGTCGCTAAAACCCCGTCACATCTGGTCTTCCTGCGCCGCTCACGCGATGGCGTGCGGAGTCGAGGAAGGAGAAGAATAAGAAGCAGCGAAGCAGGAGATTCCCGGTTCGTTCTAACCACCTGGTCATGGTGGAAGAAAAGCAGCATGCGGGAGGAGGAAGAAGAGGAGAGAAGCGAACCGACGGCCTGGGCCACCCCTCTCCCAATCCTCCTCGTCTCTCCCCCTGTAAGCGCAACGCTGCCACTTCCTCCTGCTCCTCCTACTCCTCTTTTCACCACCTGCTTAAGAAGACCCGGTACGCCCCCGACCTCTTCCTCTGCCATAGCTGTGGTCTCCGGTTCCCGTCCAACAACAACAACAACAACACCCTCGACCACCTCCGATCCCAGTGGCGCGTCGCCCTCCTCTGCCGCACCTGCCTCGCCCGCGTCAAATCAGCTGACATCTGCTCCTATTGCTTCTCCCCCTTCTCCTCCATCGCTGACGCCGAACGTTCCCTCACTTGCCTCAGTTGCTCCTGCCGCGTCCATCTCGGATGCGTCGACCGCGAGCACCGCTGCCTCGATCCTTGTCGCCTGGAGCCGGGCTCCTTCACCTGCGTCGATTGCTGTGTGATCCCTAAATTTTGGGGCAGGAAACCTGGAATTGGTTCTAGGGTTTTGCTCGAGGTGGTGGTGAGGGAAGCCAGTTCTGTGGCAGAGAAGAAGATCGAGGCAGCTGCCAGGGCCAGGGAAAATGCTCTGAAGAAGGCTGATGCCGCAAAACTTGCCGCAGAACGGGCTAGTAATGCGTTAGGTGTTGTTCTTGCAGCCAAGGGGGACATTTCAGAGCAGAATGCTGATCTGGCTGTAGTTACCGATCAAGAACTGGCTCTCCAGCTACATCTGGCTATGAATGGGTCTAGGAGGATCTCAAGGAGTTCTTCTTGCTCTTTAAGTTCAGGTGCTGTTGGTTCAATTGACGTAAAGAAAGTGTGTGGCCGAGGTGGTGATCAGATGAGCAGGAATGTTGATTCTGGTGATCGCAGAATTTGCAAAGCAGCTGAGATTTGTGCTGAAGATAATTCCTTTCTTGATGTGGCAGCGAGAACTGTGTTTGGTCAGGGTTCTGATGTTGATTCAGAATCCAACAGGAACCAGCCGAAGAAGCTAATTGATGATAATGGCAGAGATGGTCATGCTGTTATGCCACCAAAGGAGGATCAGGGCAACTCTTCTGATAGAATTGTTAGTTCTGATGCAAATTTTTGTAGCACTGACTCTGTATCGTTGGATTATGAGAAGAAAAAAGTATCTGATGTTGTATTGTTTACATCTACATGTCGAAGATATGTCATAGAAGGATCTGAAGTACAAGAAAATAATAGTATTACATCACCAGATAGATATCTTGTGAAATATATTGCAAGGAGGTCAAGACCAAAAGGATTGGTAAATGAGGATTACCACCTACTTCCTTGATGGCAAATTAGTTCTTTTAAGATGGCTGGTACCTAAATTGATTCTCCTTAGTAGGCTTCCACGACTGTCATGCATTCTTCTACGTACAGGTTGCCAGAGGTAAGCCATACAAGTTAAAGGATCAACTCTGTCGTTTGTTTTTTGATCTCACTGCTTATTTCCTTCAGTCACTTGCTCTTGTTACTGTAGTGAATTATTAACATTGGTTTATGGTCTTAGCCTTTTTTGGTAAATTTAGGTATTTTTCACCTATCAATGAAAGATAATTGAGAAAATTCTGTATAAAAGTCACAACCAACATTCATAAAACAACCAGAACTCTCAATTTTTTATATCAACCAATTACATCGCCATATATTGAAAAAAAAAAACATGGCCTCAGATAAGTCATAAGCTTCACTTGGGAATACTTTTAACAGTACAAATACTTGAATTTCCTGCCAACCTGGAAGAGTTTTCATAGAATGGATGTTGTCTATTAGAAAATTAAATCTCAAGGTGCAAGCCATCATGCTTATTGTTTGAATCTTTGATATACATGTTATCAGTTATGCTATTCTTTGATATCTATAGTGATTTCCCTGATAAATTAGGATGCATGATAGGTGAGACTAGTTATAACAACTTCCTGGCTTATTTCGGTGAAACTGGACTCAGTCTAGAAAGGTATTGGTGGACTCGATGGAGGAAGGATAAGTGGATCTTTGACTTAATAATTAATCTGTGTTCTTGTAACATATTATGATGTTCCTGGCAGTCTTAGTTTTTCTTGGCCAAACATCAGGTTCGCTGGTCCATCTTAGAACTATCTGGCGCTTAATAGGCCCCTATTCATCCTGCCATGGTGGTCATATGATGTTGGCTGAGCCATCTTAAGGTTGTAGTAACCTTGGTAGAATCTATTTTTAGCATTGTGAAACTTCGATCAGCAGATGATGATTCTTATCTCTTACGAGAACAGGTTAGAGATGATTGTAGTAGGCTTATGTGGCAATTTCCTATCCTAGTCCCAACAAGGGAGCAAATAGTTGCCAAATCAGGGAAAGGTTAGCCATTCCTGGCTCCATCTGTTCATCAGGAGATGGGCTAACCAACTCCATTTGGTTGAGCATTGACCATTCCAATAAGGGGTCGGACAAGATGATACTATAGGAGGGTGATCTGGCACGATCACTTTCTGTCACTATAAGTATAATAATATCTATTTATCTTACTGCAGAACCCAGATAAATGGTCAGGCAGTCTTTTCTTTGTTCCAGCATTACAGTAGTACAATTATGTCTTTGTTTTGAACTTTCTTTCCCACGAAGAAGAGACCCTAGTTATGAGGGATTGTTCCAGACGTAATGATGGTGACAAACATTGCAGATGTATTCCCAAGAGTAATTGCATTGACTTTTAACATGTCTTAAACATTAAAAAAAAAAAGCAAGATGCTAAAGGTTTCCCAAAGTTTTCTGTTAAGGTTTGAGGATTTCTTGTTCAATTGTTGTCAAGATTCAAGAGACTTGGTTAAAAAGCTTTTCAAACAAGAGAATAGTAGAATCAAGATAATCATGTCAGTCCATACCGGGTCATGTCAGCTATACTGATGCATGGCTAGGCCAATTTTTGGCCTGTTCTCATCAGCATGAAAGAGTATGACATTATGCACACGGGACTCTTATTCAGATTTCACTACCTCAACTTGAAAATCACAGTAGACATAGATGAAAAGAACAATATATTGAATATCTATTAATAAATAGAAACTAACAATATTTACAGACACTAAGAAGTAAGAGAGGCATGGGAGGATAATATATAGAATAACTTGATGTGTGGTTGTTTAAGAGAATTTACATTTTCTGAGAAGGGCATACCCAAGTTCTATTCAAAGTGACTTCAATTTTTTTTTTTTTTCCAGTTGGTTCCAACATAAGTTGCAAAGTGTATCCAATCATTGCTTTCTTATGAACTTTGAAGATTATAGATACTTTTATTTGCACTAGGGCTGTCTGGAAGGCAAGAATTTTTTTTCATCATCACCTAAACATCCCAAACATCTTTAATATGGAATAACAAGATCTCTATTTCTCATCTATTACAAGTTTAAAAAATAAAGAAATGAATAAATAAAAAAGTGGCATTTTGTGATCTATGTTATCCAATGATTGAGTTAATATTTGACTCATCATTCTGTAAATTGCTTAAAAATAGGTGTGGATATGGATTCGAGCATGAGTTGATTTGGCTTCAGTGCATTGCGGCTAGTACTACTCAAAGTTGGTTTCAGTGATTAACTTTTGGAACTTTCTCTGTCACCATCTTAAAAACTCTTGATAATCATGATAACTCAAATATCCAATTTCATCATAGTTTGGTTGCATTTTGCTTTTGTGCCCTTAGTCCAGGAACTTTGTTCACTTCCAACTGAGTAATTTGTGTGGTCAAACACTTTATTTTAAAATATTGCCTTTTGCTCCACGTTATGTTAATTTTCCTTTTGTGTCTCGAGTGTTGGTCTTTATTTTCCTAGTTCGTGCATGCTTCAGTTTTCCTCTTTCATTCTTTTATGTACTGAGAAGACATGAATTTCAAAGTTTAAACTTACTGGTATTTATAAATTGCAAATGGTCTATTTGTTGCAGTTACTGTGAGTCCAAGTTAGTTCAGAATTTGAATTGTAAAAGGGGCAAACTATTCAAAATTTTATGGTACTTCGTTGGGATGTCAACAAGGGGTTGTGGTAGGATAGATAAAAGATAAGATGAAATAGGCTGCTTAATGTTTAGTTGAGGGAGAACTCTTAGACTGATTAAATTGTTAGTTCAATGACATATATGGTGTCTAGCTGAAGATATAGTTCTTTGTTGAATATGTGTTTTCCTTTTTCTTCTTTTTCCTGCATTTTCTTCCTCCTTTGTCATTCTTCTACATAGAAAAAAAAGCAGCCAAAGCACAAAGCTCTTGAGCCTTACCTCTGCACACTCTCTTTGTGAAATCTTGGGGAAGCCTAGAGAGTATTAGCTTTAATCTTGACAGGCAACGTAGTAGTTTATGTTTTTCACAATATCTTGATGGCTAAGATGAGATAGTAGGTTTTTTTTTTCGTAGCTGCCCAGATATGTGGATTATATTTTAAGATATCCATCTTTTCTCTTAGATCATTTTTAGTATTTTTTACCAATTTGTTGCATTATGAACAAAGAAGGTGAACCTTAAAACGGAAGCTCTTTTCTTGGAATTTTGATGACATACAAGATCTTTTTTTGTTAGTTTTTGAAAGTTCCTTCCTTGCAAGACAATAACTGCAAAAAAAATACTTCTGTTGTTAGGTCTAGCAAAACAAAGATCAATTCTTTTGAAGAAATTATTGAGCATGTTTATGTATTAGATGAGTTAGAAATGAAAGCTGATCCATGAATGTCCCATTTGGGTGAATACTCAATAGTACCAAAAGGTTATTGACAGTTAATACTGGTGTATATTTTGATACCCTTTGGAAATGGTATCATTGGTGTCTCGATTTCCATCCTGCTAAATTAGACTAGGCGAAATAAGAACCAGATAAGATTAGGATTATGACCATTGGTGTTAGAATCTTTTTTTCATAGGTTGTTCCAGTTACTCAGTTACTTGGACCATCTGCCCTGTTCCTTCTCATGTACTCTGCTTCCCTCTCCTCTTTCTAATTGTTGAAGAGGCATTGATTCTGGGGAGTGCTGAGAGGTGCATAATTTTTTAGTTTATTTATCCATTTTCTCTTTTTTTCTTCTCTGCTTCCTCTTACTAGTGATCCTATATAGACATGGTCATGTGCTAATAACCTGTCTGATCGTCGACTAGCATGGGAATTTTCTGTGGAAAGTCATTACTGCATGAATAACTGAAATAAAATTTTCTGCTCTAGTAGCTTTCTCATCTCTTTTGGATTAGAGACTCAAGTGTAATTGTTGTCGTATTCCTTGCTATTCTCAAGAAATTGGATGAAAGTTGTAAATGGTCTTTTAGTTTCCACATCCTTCCCCTTTGCTTTGAGATGAAAGATGGATAAGATATCTCAATGGCTACCCCAACCAGCAATGTGAATCAGCCAGTCAGCATCACAGTCGAGCTATGTTGATGCCAGATTGGTCTACACATTACCAGCTGCCACTATTTTCCTGTTTGGTTTTGTTTTCCCCTTTCTTCCAATCCATCAGATGAACTAGGATGCCAACAACACCAACTAGTGTGTCAAAGGAGGAAAAGTAGTGCCTTCTTTTCGTTGCTAAGTTAATCATTGGTTTTAATTTCCTTTTTATCGCTTGCTGGATAAGATGCCAAACTTTGATCTGATCTAACTGATTCATTTTGTTTATAAAATTAAACCTCAAACTGATTCTTACTTGCCAATATTGCCTAAAAACCTAGAAGCAGAGGATGGTCAAGTGTCTTGAGAAAATTTTGGAAGGTATATCTACATAATGGTTTTGCCGAGTATGCTGGCAGAGAAGCAGAAAGGACGCACAATGCAGGGCCAGGTTATCTTAGGAAATATTTCTGTGTCACATTGGGTAGGGGAAGTGGCCAGAGAAAGGTGTGGAGTACTCGCATCTGTACGGCACATTAAGCCCCAAACCCCAATTGTCATAATGAAATGCTGCAATAGTGTTGCAGAGGGGAAGAAGATGTCTGAATTCAAAAAAACAAGCCTAGGAACTGTCTAGAAGTTCTTCTGATAGAAAAAAATTGACTTTAAGGGGATTTTGGTTATTGGTGTAAACACAAAATAAGGTAATGTGACTTATGTGATCTTGTTGTTACATAAAGACTGAAATAGTACATTGCAATGAATAGATATTAGAAAAAAGACTTAGTGGCTGTTAAACATTATATAATCTAGGCATGTTCGACTTGAGTAAATGAGGAGATTGGTCCTCCTAATGTTTTTGGTAGTCTAGATCTTTGACTGACCAATGGTTTGTCACATCTCTGGAGTTAGTGCTCTACGAGTACCGGAAAAGGCTTCCTCCGAGAATCCCCCAACTAGTCTTGAAGATTCCATCCCTCGTGATAATACTGACTTGACTTGAAGTTGGCTGTGGTAACTGAGGTTGTCCTTGATTGTCACATGTGATTCGTTATGCAGGTATAACAAATAAGAATCTGTTTTTGGCAGCATTTTCTATTTCATTTTGTGGGAATTGGACCACTAGACTAACTTTTTTTACTTTGTCTTTGTGGGAAATTATCTTTGATATACTGGTGAATTTTTGTCAACAAACCTTCATGACGCCTGTTCTCAATGTTGGTCTACCAACTCATTTACTCTATCGTAACTTCTTGATATTTTATGTGGACTCTTTAATTAACAGCTTAATCATTAGCAGCTCGATTGCCTGACAGACAGATTGCTCATTTTTTTCTCTTTTTCATTCTCCTGCAGAATCTAATGGTGTTGCTGAAGTTCCTTATGAGAACACAGAAAGACCTTGATCATTGAGGATGAGGTTTTCTATGCGGATTTGTAAGATATTCCAGGTCAAAATCAAGAAAAAAAATCTACCATATTTTCATCTTCAATGTGGATTCTGATATATGAACAGTACACCTAGTCTGTTAGGTGTTCTTGTTCATCCCACCAAATTATTGTTTGTATCCTCAGAGTTTACCCTAGTTCTGTATGTGCATCACTAGATGTTCTTAATTCGAATAAAATTATAATAGTCTGCAGACTCTGCACTGCAGGAGATTCATCCATGTTTAAATGATGATATGGTCACTGACATATTGGATGTTTTGTTTTCTATGCCAGCCTGATTTCAGGATTATTACCGTTCAATGAGTATGAACTGCTTGCGAGGTTTCGGCATTTGGACTTGTAATCTTTCTCCTGCAGTTGGACTTGCACGCAAAAAGAATCTGCGAGTCGTAGTACACGTTATTTGCCACCTTCAACCTTCATCCGAGTGCCACTTTACAACGACGATCACCACCGCCTGAGCCACGGTCATCTCCTTTTGCCGTTTCTCTTTCATCATAACCTTCCGTGACATAACATCTCTGGTTGCATTTGCAGGTCAGTTTCAGACGCAGGCAAGCAAACATCAAAAACTGCATTTCACGGCAACAAGCCAACCAAACATCAAAAGCTATAATGCAACTCAGAAATGCAAGCACTTGCCTTCTGGCAATCTAAAGTCCTCTATGAAACGACTTGAATTGCAAATCAAGGGACCATTTGTAGCAGAAGTTTTCTCACTACTTTTTGAGAGCCGTAATGTGCTCCTATAGCATAAGCATAAGCAGAGCTTGTGCTGATGGATCTTTTCTCAAGCTTGCTTTCCTACTGACTGTTATGGCGTCAAATTATGAACAGTTTGTGGTGTATCAAAGTCGAATGGGTCAAGCTGGTCTTCTAGCTTTTTGGCAGGAGCGCTGCAGATGCTGGACGAGTCATCGTACTGTCAGATTCAACTCATCTCGGCACCATTATTTTGGGCTTGTCAGAAATTTTCGAGAAACAATTCCGACGACCCTCCTCGCTCCTTGGGGTAAAAAAAACTCATTCTTAACTCCTTTGTCTCGATCATATTTCACGCTTTTGATTATAGCTTTCTTTCTGCAATCAGATTAACTTGTAGGACAAGGTTAATTGTCGTTTTACCTGTTGACATTATTTTACGTCAACATATTCACCATTAAACTTATGATGATTGAGAATTTCATAGAATGCATCGCCACATTCAACAGAGGTCTCAGAGTTGATAGAGAACCATCAATGGATCTTAGCGGTCAGCCGCTACTGCTGACCTTAAATCTTTCAGGTGCAGGTCCAACTCTTTTGGTTTTGTTTATTTGACTGTCATGCTCGTCGGTCGTTTTAATCGTCCTTACAGCCAATGTATCCGATCTTATTCTTGCAGTGCTTCATGGCAGCTTTCATTGGGTTAAAGCATGGAATAAAAGCATGGAGTAGCTTCAAAATAATTTGAACACCAACTCTAGATTCATTCAGATCGAGAAACCCAAACATGGAGAGAGCGGTTTACAGACTACACTGCAAGAAACGCTCCTCCGGAGGCACACAACCTTCACATTCCCTAATCGCAACTTTGGCACGGCATGGCGCTCCTTATTTGCAACCCTGATCGCTACAAACGACACTGCATCATTCGGTAAAGAGATAACATTTACGAAGATTGAAATGCAAGCATTCAAGCACAAGACTAGTTGTATGGCGGTGGTGGTGGCGGCGGCGAAGAGTGATCGTGACGCGGCGGGGGAGAATGCTCGGGGATGGTCTTGTATGGTGGCGGTGGCGGCGGCGGCTGTTGATGATGGGGCATGTGAGTTGGTGATGGCGGATAAACGTAAACTGGTGGTGGAGGAGAGTTGTGGTGGTAAACGGGCGGAGGAAGGGGCTTGTGGACAGGCGGTGGCGTCGGCGTAGGATGTGATGGCGGGTACGTAGGATGGTGGGGCGGCATCAACGGAGGGCAAGGGTGGTGGACCGATGGTGCCGGCGGTGGTCGTGGAGACTTGTACGACGGCGGCGGAGTCTGGGGCTTGTGAGTTGGAGGGACGGGATAACCATGTGACGGAGGCGGCGGGTGCCGGCCATACGGAGGCATATGGGCATGGCTCGGCGGCGGTGGATGAGAACTGTGGTCGTACGGAGGGTGTCCGACGTGAGTCGGTGGTGAAGGAGTAGGTTGGTGGTGGTGATGATGATGGTGGTGGTGGTGGTGGTGATGCGGCGGGGGCGCACCAGCGGTTGGCGGTGGGTGATAGTAGACTGGAGGCTGCGCTCCATGGCTGGGCGGTGTTGGTGGTGCTCTGTGGTGGTACTTTGGAGGGTGGTGCTCCGGCGGAACTGGAAGGTGGTGGTGGTGGTAGGGTGGCGGAGAAGCGGAAGGAGGCTTAGCCACGGGGGTCGGTGGCGGGTTGCCATAGTAAGGCGAAGTGGCGGTGCATCGAGGCGAGAGCATCGCCATGAGAGCCATGCAGAGGGTGACGACGACCCTTAGAACCATCCTCGTCACTCAACGCCAACCAATCAACAGCAGCGAAGTGGGAGAGGGATGCGGCGTGAGACGATGCATCCACGCCTCTCGCCCTCCTTTATATAAAGGAGAGCTTCGGAGGGATAAAACAAGGCTTAAGTCACACACTCCCCTCGCCCGGCTTTATCCAGAGCAGAGCTACGTAGCGTAAACCAAGCTCAGGTTGGGTCTGGTGAGGGTAACCGAGTCATCATTCCTCTTTCTTTCTTTATCGTGGCCAACAGGTCAAAAGATGGGGTGGTCTCAGATCACGAGGATACGTGCACTCGATTGACCGGTACCCGAGAGTGGGACCATCGGACACTGGGCCCCACCGTGCTTACGATGGACCGTGTCGAGTACATGAACTCGAATCCGACCCGTGTAGGAACACAACCCGCAAAGAGAAACCCTGTCGAAACCCGTGTAGGAACACAACCCGCCAGCGGACGGCCCCACGGGTGTTACTTTAATCATTCACCGCGGGTTACGGAGACAAATTATGAGGTGTCACAGCAGGATAATTATGGACTCTCAGGAACAATGAATTACCCATTTCCCAATGCCGCGCATCATGGCGACGGTGTTCGCTGTTCTGTGCGGCGTGCTAATAATGTTACGAGCCATGTAATCCGGAGGTTTATAATAGACGTAGGCGGCTCGGCTGTACCCGCCCACGACTCTGCCGAGCCAAACCCAACCGAGCCATCTTTTCAGCGATGAGGGTTTCGAGGTTTCTGCTTTTGGGGTTCCAGAGAAGACTAGAAAAGCCAGGAACTCATGTGCTTTGGGGCTTTGTTAAGTCACACTCCCGTCTCTTTCCCTGCACATGACTTGTTAAATCAACGTTCAATCTCATCTCTTGATTGGATGACTGCTTTTTCTTTCTTATTGGTTCATGTCCGAAGCCTCATCCCTTCGTCTTCCATCGCTTTAATACATCTTTTTTTTTTTCTGGAATCAATAATGCATGTTACGTCTTTTGCCATTGCCACAAAAGTTGATCCTCCTGGAATTGAGTTTTGCATCTCTATACATACCCCTTTCGCCATAGTCAATCTTCTTTAACCATTGTAAGATGACTCTTGGTTGAAACTCTTTAACTTAAATTAATATCTCCAAAAACTCATTAGAATTATATAAATAATAAGGAATAATTATGTACTTTATTCTATTAAAATATGACTGATAAGGACTAGAAGTGGTTAACTTGGATATATATATATATATTGGAGGGACACTAGGTGCAAGAAATTTACATGGTCTATCACATAATGTTTTGTTTCAATGACATGCATAGGCCCAATTATTGCGTCAAAGAATGATATGTATATTATAAGCTAAGTCTTATTTTTAAAGAATGCGGTTTAGGTGGAGAATACCTCGGGACACGTTAAGAATGATTTATACCATCTCGTTGGACCGGCTATTCCCAAGATAACTTTTATCATTTATTTGATTCCACACTCGAGTGAGCTGGATTCATATGCAAACAAGTTGAGATTCGACAATAACGTAGTTCAAAATTAATTTTAAGACCAATTTGATCATTGCTAGAGTTGGGACAGTCTATTGCATTACTTCTTACTTAAATAGCTCGAGTCATATACAAACAAGTAAATGATCGATAATAACATGCCATCTAAGCAACCAAAAGCCTAAGGATTAATCGATCACAAGCAAGCTACGGATACCTTCTTTTTCTTGTTCTTTAGATTTGTTTTGTTGGGGTTGACGTACATGATCAGACCATTCATAAGCAATTGATCTCTCGAAAACATAGACTTGAAATGGCCAGATGATTAGTCTACTTAGATTTGAACAATTGAATTGACAGGTCTAAAATGCACATGCAGGTTTTGGCATTCGATGATCACCAGTCAAGACTATATACGTCATGGTGGATTGGCTGATGAATTCAATGAGCTACCATCATTCTATAATCTATGCAGCTTGTAACTCCTAAAAAGCAAGAATCAAATAGTCAAATGAATCAAGCAGTGGAAGATGATGAGTAAAGATTTTGATAAATTATTGTAAGATCTTAGATTCAAAATCTCTATCTTTATCAATTAGTCAAATGCATCCAATACAAGTAAATTTCTTGGAAAAGTATTATATCATACATTTTTTCATATGCTAAATTTTTGAACTGATACTAGTAGAAAGTCTTGAGATCCCAGTGATGGCCGACGTACGATAACTGATTCCATAGATGAATATATCTTACATTCTTTACTTATGCCGCACATCCACAAGCAAAGGCTTTGAACCCAACATGGTGGACTCGTACCATACAAAAATATGTCAGGCGAATGACCGACATATTGCATCTCGTACTGAAGTCATATTTATTTATTACGAAAGAAAGGCCCGAACGATAAAGGTAGGCGAAAAGGTAGGCGAAGGATCTCCTTTGTTTCTTGCAGGCAGTTATACTTCGATAGAAAGGAGACAGCCACATATACAACAATGGCCGCGACAACACGCAACAGAACGGAAAGCCATCCAAAAGCGCTCTCAGAATCGCTTATCATGACCTGAGCTCCACATAGGACCCAGAAAGCCCAGAGGTGCCAAGAAGCATAACCTGCAAGTAACAGTAGTTGATCACAAGTTTGTTACATTTTCATGAAATACACATATATACACATATGCAAGCAAGCAAGCAAGCAAGCAAGCAAGCATTACAACTTTTATGCAGTGGGCAACAAGTCAACTAAAACATGGCTAACCAAGAGTTGACTCACGGGTTGTCATTCTGTCGATTGCCTATTCTCAATATCAAACTCTTGGTTCACCTTAAAATATCTAACAATGATCACATAGTATCCAAACACCATGGAGAAAGGTTTCCGATGGCCAGTCAAAGGGTATTAATCTCCTACAGATTGTGTTGAAAGATTAGGGAGGGCCATGATAGACAGACACCGATTATTTATTTCCAACTAATTAGGCTTCTGCTGCTATTCTAATATCACAACCGGATATGTTAATGGCAAGCAGAAAAAACCTATAAGCAGCATGCCTGCTTTGCACAAACAACCAGCTATATTTAGACCAACTAAACAATTGTGTCACAGGAGTGCTAGTTGGGCAACCGGCCAAGAAGGCACGTGGCTTAGCTTGATAAACACCACCATAGGCGTGCCGATGGAAAGACGAAGAAAAAACTAATTGGTGAAAATTGGCTCGGATCATCTTGGTTTGCTTCGGGCTTCAAATATAGTAAAAACTGAAGTATTTCTTACCTTCCAGGCCGTGTCAAGCAATAACATCATAAACTTTTACAGAAAGCGTCAATCACAGCACCATGTTGGCACGAAAAATGACATAGCTGATACAGCCAACATGGTAATCCATACTTTTAGGGAAAAGAACACCGCTCCAAGGCCCTAAGAGTTATCAGATATGACGCTAACTACAGTGTAATGTATATGGGAAGCTTAATTACAGGCATAACATATAATATTACAGAAAAACAGAGTTGTATTCAGGTTTCTGAGTTTTGAGATCATTAACATCAAACAATTCAGTAATTCAAAGCTTAAAAGAAACATAATATATTTTAAAAATTAATAACTAACTAATATAAGTCCTGCTGTGAAAATTCATGCAGCAAAACACATTATTGTAAAGTTTGCTTACCTTTCCCCACTCAGAACCAATGCCACTGCATCTCATTTTCAAGTGTATCATTTTCGTTCCCAATTCAAGTTCAACCTTTTTCCTCAAAAAGGTCTCATCAGGACCAAATGAATCCAAATAAGTAATATATCGTTTATATGCAGCTCTTATGGCATCTTCCAGATGCTCTGGCAGGTGTCCAACATTCTGTGGACAATCATTATCATGTTTGTCAATAATAGAACAAAATGGACAATTGCTTGAAAATTGAGATAAATAGCACCTAGGTTCCTCAGTTCAAAGTCTACATAAACAAAATGACTGACCTCACCACTTAAGCCGCATAAATCATCAAGTGCCATTCTAAGGGATACCAGTACACCACTAAATTCCACAGATGCCTCAGCTGCATGAAATACATTTGCCAAAGCCTCCTGGCCAGCTTTATCTTCAGTGGTTTTTGACAGAGCCTTCTTTGTCTCATTTATAACAGAGTCTGGAATTTCATCCCAGTTAATCGCCAACAAATCCTTCATTGCAGCTTCTATATCAGGGTCAGCAATGACAGGCAACTGGCTTATATTTGAACTGAAGGCATGCCTTAAATTTAGTGTATACGAATACTTGTGGCCTGAAATTCCTTGAACATAAAGAATAAGAATGTCAAGTTAAAACTGAATTTAAATAGTTACAAGAATAACAATCCTACATGGAAAATTGAGCAATGCGAAATACATGGAAAAAAAAGATAAAATACAAAGAAAAAGTAGATAATTGTTTGCTTTATGACCAGCACAAAACAAGATTGTGCCATAGTAGTGCTATAGTTCAACTTGTCAGTGGGGCTAACAGGGTTATAATAGTTACGTAATCAAGGAAAAAATTCCTCCATGTTATAATCTAGTTAAATACTTTAACATCTCATAGTTCATTCCACACCATAAATTGTTTTGTAATGATTATTCTTGGAGATAGAAACAAGGTAGCCAGGTGCCAGAGTATTGCTGCCATCTGCCATAGCATGCAACTGATGCAAGTCTGAAAAATCTTTCCAAGGGTTTGGCAAAAATACTTTTGTTTAAGGAGTTTAAATCAAGGTCTGCCGTACCGAAGCATACCGTTCATACCGGGACCGTCCGGTACCACTACAGTGCTACACGGACCGTCCGTTCGGTACCGCTACAGTGCACAAACTGTCCGGTACCGCTACAGTACTACAGTACTATATTGTAGAACTGCTACAGTATGAAAAAAAAATAAAAAAATATTCGATACACCAGAGCACATGGTTTGCAGTACCGGTCCGTACCGCCCGGTACGGGCGGTACGTACCGGTCCGCCAGACTTTCGATACGCGGACCATATGTTACCGTTCCGACACTGTAGCAGTACTGTAGCAGTGTAGCGCTGCTACAGTGCTCGGCACGTCTGAATATACCGCTCGGTACACCTGGGTGTACCGAGCGGTATACCGTACCGTACCGGTACCGAGCCCAGGTCGAAACTCCGGTATGGTACGGTATTACGAACCTTGCCAGAGCATACCGCTCGGTATGCCCTGATGTACCGCCCGGTACACCGGTACCATACCGTACCAAGCCTGGGTCGAAATGCCGGTACGATATGGTACAACGAACCTTGGTTTAAATGCTAAGGTCATACATGCCAGGTGACGAGGAAATACCTTCATTCAATGATTAAAATCTCAACCTCATGTCAGTACCAACTAGACAGTTCTTATCTTGATTACCCATTCCATAAGATTTCCCAAGGATCAGGCCCATGGAACACTTAACCTGGTGGTCGTTTGCTATTGATGTATGTAACATTGGCTTGAAAGTAGTGTCAAAGTTTTAAAACTGATAAACAATCGTAAAGGCAAGAATCTCTAGCTTCAAGTACATAACATATTATTTTAATCCTATACTAGAAATCAATTTTTAGTTATTGATCTTTAATTTTTGAGTAAACAACCAAAAACAATGATAAGATTCCAAACAAAATCATTTACAACTACTAAAAGGTGTCAGAAATTTAGCGAACAATTACAATATACAAAAATGAATAATTCAGCTAGCAAGCCCCACTATAATAGTATAATGGTTTATGAACCCTGATAATAAAGAACAAAGATATATCAATGAACAATAAAGGGTCAATATAACCAGAAACACTACAATAAATTCTAACCCACAGAACCATTTACATAAATGCCAGTGGCATAATGCTGACACCAAAAGGTCAGGGACCAAGTTACATCATATGTGCAGCCACACCAAAATGATCACTTCACAAAAAAAATAGTGAGCTTTAATATATAATAACAGCACACAACAACATAATCAGTAATGAAAAGGGAATCTCAAACTTCAAATCAAACTCAAAATGAAGAAATATTAAAATATAATTCAATTAGTACAGGTCAAATGATCAAAACAAACGAGCTGCTCAAAAGCAATACCCATACAAATTTCACTACCAAATTAGCTTCACAAATTCCAAAATGAGCAACCGTCAAACTAACATGCTCAAACTATATACCAAAGGTCCAAAACGATAAAATATAAGTGCCAATAAAGGGCAACAAAGACTAACAAGAAGATATTGAAAAATTAAGGGAGGTTAAGCACTTAGAAAAAAATCATTCGAGATAGCTAACCCTTCAAGAAGCATCTATGCACTAAAATAATGGAAATCTGGAAGAATACTAAGTGTATCCCCAATAAGTGCATTAAATGGCTACCGAATACCACATGTTCCAAATCTGATTTGAGAAGCTTGGAGATTCGATGCTGTGATCTCATGAATGTTATTAACGCCCTTCATCCAACTTCTAACTGCATATCACGTGGTCGAATGTGTAAAAAAATGACCCTCCAAATGCATTAATGAAATTCACTTATTACAATAAAAAATGGAGTGGGATCGTAAAGGCCTATGACCTGCTTGAGTTGCAATAGTGCGTGTTGCCACCGGCCCCAGCTCGCTGCGACCAAAAAAATTGTTTTAGATATCTAACAAACGTTTTCAGGTAACAACAATAGCAGTCGGTACATAGGACAAGGTTAAAATTAAAGAATATTCTAGGTTTTTTTGAACAGTAATTAAAGCAATGTCCAGAAAATTTTTCTGAGAATGTCTCAGCAGCTGTAAACAAGTACAGAAAAGCTATCAAATATGGTCTCTTACAGAAAGGTGCAACTAAGAAATTAAGAACCAAGATATGAAATAGAAATATGCATAAAAATTATTAGTGTGGATTCAGCAAATTCAAGGAGGGAATCTTTTAGATAAAGCACTATAATATCTTACGATGTGTTGTATGAAAATACAACAAAAAGCAGTAAGGTCCCAAAACGCCCGAGACAGTAGCCGCGCCTCCCAAATATTATAATTAAAATAATATACAACTAAATAGAAATACGCTAAACATGTTTATGAAGACCTATGTTAGAATTAAACTGCTTCAGAACCATCGTATTAACCAAAAATGTTTTGCTGCTATAAGACATCATCAAGTAAAAGCTAAGGGAGTTTCTTGTCTAAATCAAAGTGCATATTACCCATGGTGTTGTAGATACAACAAATATATTTAAATTGCTCCAAACGAGTTGCTGCTCGTCCGTTCGCAGTTTAATTAACAGGAAGGTGGGGGAAGTACAAGGCAGCGAACGAAACTGCAGGTCCGAACCGATGAAGCTGCAGTGGCGGACGAAGGCAGCAGACGACGTTGTCGACGACGGCGGACGGATCGTGCGAAGGCGGCGAACGAAGGCAATGGAAGAGGTTGCCATCGGCGGCGGACAGAGCTACTACAGCAGCAGACAGAGTTATAGCGGTTGAAGAGGTTTAGGGTTTAGACGAGCTGCATTGGCCGACGAGTAGCAGCGACGGCGGCTGAGCTGCAGCGCCTGGCAGAGGGAAGAAAGGCGACAGATCTAGGGTTTCTTCTTTCACCGGGTGGGGCGAGGGAGAGGGTTCGGCTGGTGTTGGGGTAATCATGTTAGTTGGTTCGATTGAACCAACTTATAAGTCCAATCGAATCAAAATTTGAATCCGCTTTCAATAAAGCGCCCGAGTAGCACCTTATTGTAGCGCTGTGCGTAAACATGCTATGAGGTCGTCTCCTCCTAAGTGTCTTTTAATAATATTTAAAATTATTATTACGATCATAGGTTACCACTGAAGAAGAATAATAATAATAATAATAATAATAATAATAATAATAATAATAATAATAATAATGATGATGATGATGATAATGAAATTAGTCAACACAAAATTAGTAAGTGATTTAATAATATTAAGAAATATGAATGAATGAAATAAGGTTGCTTCGTTGTTGAGCTTATGGTACCTGTTTTGTTTTGTAGAGTAAATTCTCGAAGAGAATTGGGCAAATGGGATACATCTTATGACAAAAAAAAAAAAAGGAACTAGTCTTTGGAGCTTAATTGGCCATCTGCTTATTGTAACTATACAATCTGTAAATAGTTAGCCCGTGGATAATATACTTTTTGTTTTTGGATTCAATTATGTATCTCTTGTTTTAAGTATGAATAGTGTCTAAGTCATAAAGTACAGTCAACCTTCCAGAAAGGAACAAAATATAGCCAGTAGCTTTGTACACAGTATGTTGAGACAAACAGTAATAAATTTACTGTCATTAGCTACAGGCAAGTTCAATTAGCTCATATAAATCAACATATCAAAACAAGTGGTAATTCCTAAACACATATTGTTGGAAAATATGATAAAGAAGATGATGAAAATACTATGAAAATAAATAACAAACATAAGATAAAAAATACTTTAGGAAATATATTTAAGCTTGAAATGTGTATAAATACTTTCCTAAAAACGATCTTTACACTATCTTCTCAATAAGATTACTATGGGTTTGATGTAAATAGTTTTAATGGATATGACAAATCTTTAGAAGATTGGTATTGAGCAAACAATAAAGAATCTTCAAAGAAGAATTAGAGAATGTCTAATTCAATCACTTGGAGAGTAAGGAAGAAGAGTATGAAAGATATGTCTATATTATTTACTCTTAAATACCTATTTATAGATATTTTTCTCAAAAGACACAACTTTTGAAAAATAACTATCAAAATAACTATAAAAGAAATCACCTTTTCAAATAAATCTTTTGAAAAGAATTTTTTTTATTTGAATAATTTGTAACAATCCCCCACTTGTTCAAATTTAAAATTTTCTCCAAGTGATTAAATAGTATTTATAAATAAAGTAATATATCTTTCGATTTGAATATTACTTTAGTGTAAGCATCACAAAGTGAAGTCGAAATCTCAAATAGCATAAAAGCTTTAAATTTGTTATTCCTAATAACAACATTAGTGATACTATACACATAAATATAGCATCTTTGTATTCCTCGTAAAATATCGCTCAGTCCTAGTATGGCTTTAGGCTCATCCAAGTTCATGAGAGAAAACTCCAACTCTCAATCGAAGCGGCACCACTTCTAAGAGGTGAAGTTCTTATAGTATCTTTGTCACTCTTTGAGATACTTATCCTAATTTAACTGAACTTCATTAAGAGTATAATTAACTCAACCCTCATTTGGTAACAACCAACACTTTAACATCTTTAGATGGGACTCGTTAAATATTTTAAAGTGCTAAACCACTCCACATGTCAATGACTTGTTCTTACCATTTGAACTCTTCATTACTCATTTCATAATGTTGAGTAAGGTGGCTATCATTGGTGTATCTTTTATTCAAGGAGTTTTAGCCCCATCCATTTTGATGTTGATCTTACAACTTCTCTTATAAGAGATTTGGTGAATGAATCATCTTCCACTTGTAAAACGAGATGAATTGTTTTTGCTTTTCGTACACGAGTGCTTCTCCTTAATTTATAATATTACTCTCCAACCTCTTATGAACTTGATTGATATTCGATCAAAGGAATATTAGGTTGCTCACTAGATGTCTCCACTAGTGACTCTTCACTAGTTGGAGGATGAACATTATTACTTGAAGTTATTAAATGTTTAAAAACTCCAGATATCGAGATTCTATTATGATATTAGACTTCAAATTAAGAAGTTTATAAGCTTTACTATTTAAGGCATAGCCTATAAATGCATATTTGATTCCTCTAGGTCCCAACTTTATAGGATCATTATTCTTACACTATGCAAGACACCCCTATACTTTAAAATAACCAATGTTAGGTTGTCTTCCTTTCCATAACTTATATGGAGAGATCTTATTTTTTTTAAATATGACATACAACCAATAAAGCTTCTCCCTATAAATTATACGATAATTTAGCATGCAACAATATAACATTAATCATCTCTAGATAAGTTCTATTCTTCCTTTCTGCTAATCTTATGGTGTTCTAGGTGCTGAACATTCATGAATTATACCATGTTGTTCACAAAACAAGTTAAATTCATTAGGAAAGTATTCTCCTCCTTTATCACTTCTTAAAACTTTAATTTTCTTCCCTAATTGATTTTTAACTTCTACTTTATATACCTTAAAAGCATTAAAAGCATCATTTTTATATTTCAATAAGTACACATAAGTGAATCTAGACATATCATCTATAAAAGTAATAAAATATCTATTATCTCCTCTTGTTAATATGTTGTTTAATTCATATATATCATAATATATTAAATCTAATAAATTAGTAAATCTTTCAACACTTTTGAAGGGTTTATTCATCATCTTTGATTTTACATAAATTTTATATTTATTAAGATCATCAAAATGATAATTTATTAAGCCACACTTAATCTCTTCTAATTGTGCTAGTTCCAATATGTGCTAATTTATCATGTCATAATGAATAAGAATCAACTAAGTAATATCTTTATTAAATTTAGAATCATTGTCAACAATAGATAATTTAACCATTCCCTCAGCGGAATAGTCTTTTCTAATAAAAGTTCCATTAAGGGATAGAATTAACTTTCCGGATTCAAATACAGATTTAATTCCAGGTTTGCCAAGGAGATTCCCACTCACTAAATTTTTACTCATATCTAGTACATGAAGAATATTAGTAAGAGTGACTTTCTTACCTGAAGTGAAAGTGAGTTCCACATTTCCCTTGCCAATCACCTTAGAACGAACTTTATTTCCCATTTGAATCTCTTGCCCTTTTGTGACTTTTTTATAAGTCTTGAAGAGTGCCTTATCATAGCAAACATGGATGGTAGCACAAGTATCATACCACTAATCAGAAACCTTACCAAATATGACATTCACTTCGCTCACCATAGCGATTATATTATCATCTCCCTCAACGCAGTTGACTTTCGGTTTCTGATCCTTTTTAAATATGTAATACCTAGCAAAATGACCAGGTTTTCATAAATAAAACAGCCTCCACTCTTTGGCTTTTTAAATTTTCTTTGATCCCTTTTAGGGCCAAAATGATTTTTCTTGTTTTGTTTGCCTTTGTTGGAATTCTTAGGCTGATTCACAACATTTGCTTTTATATTGCCAAAAGAGTTCTCACTCTTGTCTCTCATCCTCGATTTGAAGATATTTTTGAATTTGCTCCAAAGTGATATCCTTGGAGTCATGTAAAATCTTCTTCCTATACCATTTCCAAGATGAAGGCAACTTGGCTATTACAGCCTCTACTTGAAAAGGTTTAGGAAGTTAAATTTTTTCAGCCTTCAATTGATTAACAATGACCTGCAACTCATGCACTTGTGTCAAGATTGACTTGTCATCCATAAACTTGTAATCAAAATATTTAAAAATTAAAAATTTCTTTGTACATTCTTCCTCGGCATGATACTTAAATTCCAAAGCATTCCAAATTGCTTTTGCATATGGTTCCAGCGTATAAAGATCATAAAGTCGATTCGAAAGAGCATTGAAAATGTGTCCTCTACACATGACTTCATCTTCATTTCTCTTTTTTTGTTCAGCCTTGACTTCATCGATGTCATCATCGGTTGGATTAGGAATTGGTTAAAGATTTGGATCAAGCACATAGAAGATCTTTAAAACAGTCAACATGAACTTCATCTTGTCTTGCCAACAGGTAAAATTCGTTCCATCAAAACAATCCAAACGAACAAAATCTTGATTCAATAATTTGATGGTATTTGTAGCCTCCATGGTGAATTTGTATAAACTCACAAAATATCATTTTTAGATTGTTGAAAAAATACGACAAAGAAGATGATGAAAACACTGTGAAAACAAATAGCAAACATAAGATCAGGAATACTTTAGAAAATATATTTAGGCTTGAAATGTGTATAAACACTTTCTTAAAAATGATATTTGCACCCTCTTCTCAATAGGATTGATATTGGTTTAATGCAAATAGTTTTAATGGATATGACAAACCTTTAGAAGATCTGTATTGAGCAAATAATAAAGAATCTTCAAAGAAGAATTAGAGAATATCTAATTCAATCACTTGGAGAGTAAAGAAGAAGAGTATAAAAGAGATATCTACATTATTTAACCTCAAATACCTAATTATAGATATTTTTTCTCAAAAGATATATTTTTGAAAAATAACTATAAAAGAAACCACATTTTCAAATAAATCTTTTGAAAAGAATTTTTTTTTTTAATTTGAACAATTTATAACACATATCGCTCTCACTCAAGGAAAGATGGAGAATATAATATTTGTTCTTATCTCGCATTTTGTTTTAGTTGATAGCAAATCATGAAATTTTTTTTCTTTCTAAATGAAGAATAAGATCAACATAGTCATCTGTGTTGATAATCGATCCAATAATTTCTAACAAAACAAATAGATCTACAATAACATAATGGTCTCAAAAAGTAAAAGTAATAGAAAGCTATTAAGATAAGATCGACATAAATCAATGAGATGGATCAATGTGTGTCCTTACCTGGAAAAAAAAAATCATGGATGGAGCTGTGGAGGAGGATCTCAAAGAGATCGGAGAGAGGAGGATCATCCCTTCTGATGAAGGCCATCGCCATCGTCGATGACCGA